AACAAATAATTTCCATAATTCCATGAGTATCATCACTCAGAACATAACTAAATTATCAAACCACTTTCAACAAGTTCTTCTGGTAAATTTCTGAGGCAATAATGTCAGAATAAAGAAAAGTGACACTTCATCCTGTGTAATTCACAGTTCTGAAGAAGAAAGTAACTGACTCCAAGGAACAGTTTTACTAATTATTCAATTTGTCAAATTGGGTCTTTCTTGGAGTCAGTTTACTATTCTCAAAAATAATGGCAACATGCCATTTCCCCATATATACAACAAATGTTTTGCCAAGTTTTTGGCTCATCTATTCAACAGGTGGCTAAAAGATTTTTTTTTCAAAATCCAAAAAAAAAGAAAGTTCATTTTAAAGATGTGTTAAAATTACATTAAAAATTGATATGAAAGAATTATTCTAAGTAATATTTTGTTTTTATTTATAACTTTTAGCCACCAGTAATCATTCATTCAGATACACTCATTCAAACATACACACCTGAAACTGTTGATGCACTTGTAATCTGTATTCAAAGTATAATTTAGAGAGCGGAACACATTGTAAAAGTACTTTTTTCTTTTTGAACAGAAAAAGTTTTTTGTTTTTTTTATGTTGCAGAGTTGAACGAGTTAAGGGTTCAAATCATGTATAATTACCAAATTATGTGACAAGAACCTTTTCTTCATCTTTTGTTACTGGAACAAATGCATCAACCAATAGGCCACACCTGAAATATACAGAATCTTTTGATTACTGGTGTCCTTTAGAAATAATTAAAAGCTTGTGTGATCATGGAAGCATGTTTCCTTGATTCTAAGGTATAAAGAAGTTATATGTTAAAATGACAATTCTAAGCTCATGACCTTGCACAAAACATTTCATACTAAAAAATACCTCTGCAGTTTGTAAAAATTCTCTGTAACATCTCTAGGTATGTTACAATGAAGTTTACACTTAGGCATGTAATAAGTATGCTCTATTTATCATAGACTAGAAGTCATAAAAATGCCATTAACTTTGCAGAAGATTTTAGCACCATACTTGCATCTGTAAAATCATTTTTATCAATACTGCATTAATAAATGCTGCTTCCTTAATATAGAATATCCAATGGCCTTAAAAAAACATTGCAAATCTGTTGAAAATAATGTGCTTATTTGTTGACACATTGAAAAAAAATCTTAGGTCAGGATACATCTTAAAAGCTGATCTGTTATCGAGACTGAGAATTGTATTTCTGTAACTTGCTTATTAGTATTCAGAGCAATGCACTGTATTTTCATGAACATGTACAAGAAAAGCATTATAAGGACTCAATATGATTTATCCTTTTACAAAAACATCTACCAACTTTTATGCAACTGTTAATGTATTTTTACTAAAATAAACTGCTGATATGCAATATTATATTAGTTGATTAAACATCACTGGAACTACAGCTCTGGTTAAAGGTTGTAACCATTTAGTGTTACTATTTAGGGCACAGGCAATTTATGGAAATGGTAAGACGAAAATGTCAACTACCAAGGCACAACTCAAAATTGTGCCAACTTTTAATCATTATAAATAAGAATTCCATAAATGCTACACATTTTTGTATTAATTACATTCTGACTAGAAACTGTCCATACTACAGCTACAAATTATGCAACAGTTTCTGCTAAAAGCAAGAACAGAGAAAACATTATACCTTAGAATCAAGTACACCCACATAAAACAGCCTCATTGGCTATTTCATATCGTGTAATTTGAAATTAGTGGATTTACTGGCACAACTTTGGCCAGAACAATTTAATATTTTTCCAATAAGATTCTTTAAAAAAAAAAAAGTTTTTTTTTTTTTTCTAAAAGATACAGATCGAGCCATGTGTGGCCACATTCTTAGATCACATTTTGCAAACACATTCCAATATTTAAAACTAATTTTTTTTTTTAATAGATCTAGTGTTGTTTGTGGGCTTTCTAGTACATGTATGTTTATACCAAATTTGTTAGTGAATGCACAACTTTTTGTTAGGTTAAAAAGATTTTCTAAAGACTATACGTAAATAAAATCTTACATTTATATATACACATACAGACATATTAACTACTGTTTTTTCACTTCGTAATAGGCCAAACACTGAGGACATGCAAGACATTTGATAAATTTATTTTTAAGCAAATTTCATGTATGTGGCATCTTTTCACGTTATTTTTTTGGAAGCAAATAAATGTAGAATGATTATTGTGCAGTGTATGATATAGATGTCATTGAATAACTTCTATTCTCAAACTAATTCCCACAGGACATTTGAAATTAGGTTAACAAATTGGTAAAGCATTTACATAAGTTTTGTAGCCACATCTAGCTTATCTGTTTGACATGTATTTGATATTTGTATACCTTTAAGAAGTTTCTTTAATTATTACATCCACATCGAGAACACCGATATCTCCTCTGTTATTTTAATTTTTTCAATTCAGTGTAAAAGTAGTAAAAAATATCTTTGGATTTTAATAAGGTTCCTCTGAAGACTGATACATGTGTACATACACCCTGTATCAAGGCTAATTTGGAACTTAAGCAAGAATTTATTATACAAAATATAACAAAAGGTATTGGTTCTAAGAAGCAGTTTAGGTTCATTGTTATAAATCCAACAATTACAAGTATATGGTATAACTAAGTATAAATTGGAAGCAATAGTGGATTCACGAAAAACACTGTAGTAATCAAACATGACCTCCCTCCCCCTCTCTCTTTGGTAAATATTTGTTGGATGATGCAAGTGAAATGAATGTCACCTGAAAAACGTTTTGGCCAATTGTTTGTTTTTTGTTAGCTATATTTTTGTGGTGACTTTAATATGTTTATTAGTTCTCTATTTGGAATGTGTTTGCACATGCAATTTTCTGGACATCAACTGAATAAAGGTCTGTCCTGACACACTACCTTGGACAATTTCTTTTGAAGAAAGGTAACAAATTAAGAGTAGGAGGGCTCCTACATCCACACAAACACCTACTGTTCAGTCATACATAATCAGACATACAACAAACAAACAACTACAATTTTCCTGAGATGGAATCATTACAACCATTGTATAAACATTTTTAATTCATAAAACTTATTAATTTAATGAGGGTCATTAAAATATGTCATAACCTTTGACATACTACGTAGGTTAAACCTGTTCCCTCATACATCAAGAAACCCATTACTTGATGCTCTCTTTTTCTTGCTGTATATCCACTGTATGAACCAACATTATTTTTATTTCTTTTTCTGTTACAAGATACTACTAATCTTCTGTAGACTTTTCTTGGTAATATACATACATATATATATATATATATATACACACACATATATATACATATATATATTTTTTCTTTCATTCCAAAGTACTTTGCATCTTTTTTACCCCTTTTCTTGAAACAACTTCAGTGATGTCTAAGTTGTTACATACAGCAATATACAGTTGATATCAAAAGCAAAACCTTTTTAGTTCATAACTATATTAGCCAAATGCTTCAAATAAAAAAAAAACAGTTGCATATACACAAATCCCAGCATTGCATGTGGCACATCAGTTGTATGTTTAAATACATGTCAAAAAACTAACAGTAACAAACACAAGAAAAATATAGTAGCTTGGGTGCTAAATTTCTTCTTTAACATGACAAAAAAAAAGTCATGAAACCTTTTTAATACATAACACCAGAGTTTGGATTCACAGGTGATGCTGATGAATGGCTACTTCAAGAATTACAAAAATCATCAGTTCAGTTAAAATAAAATGAGCTTGAGTTTAAAATTTGGCTTAAAATATTAACAACTGTTTTTATTTAATAAAGATATGTAGGTTTCACTGAAATTATCAATGTTCCAATTTATTCAATATTTTGATAAAGGATATTTTTTTCTAGCACATCCAACTAGCATCACCCCCCCATCCTTACAATACTCCACCCATACTTTATTTTTCTTACATTGTCACCAAAACCTTCTTTACCAGAAGTTATATTGTAAAACAAATAAAATAAATGAAGTGATACTTTAATTTACTTTTTGGCCTTTCTTAAGAAAACAGATTTGATGATTGCATTAAAACATCCATCTGAATATGCACCATACCATACCAATAATAATACAGCAGATGGAAGACATTATCAAAGGGCAGAAATTATTTCATATAACATTCAATTTAACAAGTATAATGTATCAAACATAACGTTTATTGCCAAGATTACATTTGGTGTTGAATAACACAGGATTAAGAGGTCAAATGTACCTTACTGTATATGGTTAGGTACATGAAAACACTGGATGTGTAGGTGCAACATTACCATCAAATACAAATAATTTTTTCTTCAACAAAAACCTGAGCAACAAGTAACTTGTTAATATTTTCACTGAAAACGTCTAATGCAAAAATTACACCATCTCTCATGAGAATCCATGGTATTGTCAAAAACTAAATTAGTCCCCTTCCCCCCTTCAAATGTGGCAAATTTAAACACCAATCTTGATTACATCTAATTAATGGAGAAATCAATTAGATTATGTACAACAATTTTTTTTTTCCACCAAGCTCAAAACCATCATGACGGATATTTATTATTTGACTTCCATGGATTTTCAAAAGAAATTTAGCTCTATTTTAAATTCCAGTACAATTTAAAATTTCTTCAATTCTTTAATTAAATTAACAGAACCATCAAGATTCACAAAAAGCCAATCTCAGGAAAAATGCAGTCAAACATCGTGAATCATACATGTAGGAGACCTCTTCCTCTAGTTTTGCCACACTTAAACTTCAGACAATGAAAGCCAGATTTCTGTTTTAGCAATTTCACATAGAAATAATTTAAAAATAAAAAAATAAAAAAAATTTCACACCACAATATTAAATTTGAAATCAGAGGAGTGTGTCACTTGAAAGACCCATATCCTTCCCTCACAACAAACACCATCACTATTTGGGAGGAAGAGGTGCAACATATATTTAAGGGTTACCTGAGTATCTAGACCAATTGTAAACAGCATGGTGAAAAAGAGCAACCCCCAGAGAGGGGAAATTGGTAGTCGGGCAACAGCTTCAGGGTAGACAACAAATGCCAAGCCTGGACCTGAAAAAATAAACAATTCTGAATAAATAATAATTTTTTTTTCTGTAAGGTAACATCACTTTGTAAAAACTAATTACCATTTTAAGTTACTGATTTGAGAAATAGTTAGTATAAATGTATTTTGAAGGAGATATAGATCATTTCCTGGTTACCATTCAGTTAGTTCTTCAGATATTTATTATGAATATAGTGTACACATACATATCTGAATAAACAAAAGTGACTTAAACTGTGTATCACAGACTATATAAACCCTATAGTTACAAATAAAAACTAATATGAAAGACTAAAAGTAAACCTACGAAATTTTGGATAGCTTGAATAAAGAACATATAAACATCCTTCTTACTGAAATTATTATTAATAGTAGTTAGAACCTGTTATATCAACTCAATACTGCTGTTAATATTGCAAATCATATTTTGCACATTATTGCTGTTAGTTACGAAAAAAAACCACTATTTTTAGTGGCATTTTTCATGAGGTATCTTGAAGAGAAATGGCTTAATGAATGTCTTCTTACATTTAATAATCTTTGGTACAATAGATATGTAGATGAGAAATTCCCATTTTTCAGAAAGTTTTGCACGTTTCCAAATTTCAACATTAAATTTAATTAAACAGCTAACACCTTAAGATTCAGCTTATTGTTGAACCTGAAGAAAAACATAAGATACGTTTCTTAGACAATAGTTCTGAATAGTAACTAGGAGTTCAACATAAATCCACTTATACTGGTCTATCTTAATGGCTTCATAGCTGAAAGTTTTAAACATAACCTCTTAACCATACATATCATGAGTGCTTTAGGAATAGCTACCTCTAAGTTCCTTTGACAATAAGAATTAAAGTTCAAAGAAAATTTAATGCCTAATGATTTTCTGATTCAGTTCATCACACAGCTTAAGCAGCAACAACACAAACTCGCACCCTTCATGGTTAAAAACAGCATGATTCCAAAACATGCTATATGTCATTATTACTTCTGTATTTGGGAAATGTTTCCTTTCAAAATAACAAAAAAAAAAAAATTATATTCTTTCTATTCACTGTTGTCTTAAACACATTTTAAAGTATAATTTCAGATTCCAAAAGATCAGTATCTATTCACTCAACATATATCAATATAGGTGCCCATAATGCTTTGAGGCTTATGTTGGCAGTATTAGCTGCCAAGTAGGTGCAAGCTCATGTTAGTGAGTACACCAGATATACTCAACAGTACAATTAGTACAGCAATCAGTGAACATCAACTGTCTTCCTTTGATCAACTTCTGGTCACTCTACAACAGTTTGACATCATTGTTACAGCCCAAAACATGGGATCTTCATGTTAAATAAACATCACTATAAAGAATTATCACACCAAGAAATTTTTATCTTTGTATGGGTGCTGCTCATGCTTGTTTTCTAGTTTTTTTAATCTTAATTTTGTTTATATGTATATTAAACCGCATTTTACTTTAATAGTTTAAAGAGTAGTTTTTGGGCTAAAGATTATTAGGACTTCAACCGAAGTCTGGAGAAAAACAATGCATCTTATTTATTTCCCAAGTCTATGTTAACAAATAATTTTGGAGTTAAATAATAATTTCTATTTTCACTATTCACAAATTTACAAGTTAATTCTTTAAACAAAATGCAAACATTAATAAATGTTCCTAAAAATTAATTTGACATAATACCCAAACAAATTAAATATTTGGGTCTTTTTTTTTGGTTTTTTAGTTAATTTAGTTTTAATTTCTTTGTTTGTTTCTCATGTACAGATGAATACCACAAGATAATAGCATAAAATTATTATATTTTAGAGATTTTTCTATTCATAAAACTTAAGCTACATTACAGCAAGCCAAATTTGACACCCTGTAATGCCTAAATCACAATTTTTTAAGTAGAAACAAAAATAAATATACATACACCCAACCAAAACAAACTATTGTGCTTTTTGTGCTTGATATAGAAAAGTGAAAAATATTTGAGATTTCATCTTTTCATATTATTCTTTCAATTTTGACATTTCAGGGTAGTACTGATTTCATAGTTATATACTCTTCAGCCACTCATTATTAGTGTTTTTAATGGTTAAAAAAAGTAGCAAATACAAAGTTCTAGTCAGGGATAAGTTTTAGGCAAGTGTAAATATAATTCCACAACCAGTATCATCCCTTCCATTGAAATACAAGATAAAACAAAAGCATAGAATGGGGAAAAAAATAAATTTATATATATATAAATAAACACACACAAACACACACACACACACACACACATATGTATGTATCTTTCTAACCTAGGGTATTTTTGCCTTCACATTGACAAGTATGTTCTACAGGTAACAATGCCCTGATGGTATCATGCAATCTAATTTAATGAATAAATAATTAATTCAAAGTTGGAATTTTACACTTGAACAGTATATTACACATAATGCACAATGGGGTAAATGGCCAGTTCAAGAACCTACCAGAATCAGGTATAACCATCCCTATAATTTTGAACTGTTACAAAAGGAAAACAGACACAATGTCTATATTTAGTTCTTTGAATCAAGTAACAGGATTGACTATCAATTTCACATGCTGAAATTGCAGAGCATGTTGAGTAACATCACATCTGAATAATATAACTAAGTTTATAAGCAAGAATTTACATGAAATATGAATTATAGTCTCCATTTTTAAGTTTCAAAAATATGCTAACAATTATTTTGCTTTAAAAATATACAACTAGAAAAAGTTATCAAATTCTAAATAATATTATGTAGTAAAAATATTTTACTTTTAATGCAGAAATTACATTTTTATATAATAATTTAGACAGCATTAAATACTGATCTGATAGCACTTCATACACACCCTGAGAAACAACATCCTCTATGGGTTTTCCAGTTTCATAAGACATGAATCCAATAATGGAGAAAACAACAAAGCCAGCAAAGATGCTAGTGCAGCAGTTGACAATAGGAATCAGGATGGCATCCCTAAAATAAAGTCAAACTTTCTCAAACTGTAGACATGAATCTTTTATTTTTTGCTTTATGTCTTTCAGTTATAGAAGTTTATCTACCTTACAGACAGTTAAAAATGTCAATAATTTTATGAGTCACCCATTATCAGACTAGATATGTAACAGAATAATGATGCTACATTAATACTACATTAATTTAATTCATTATAGTTTTAAAGTTAGCTGATTGTAATCAATAATTTGTGTGCTATTTATATACAATATATATATATATATATATATAATATAAACACACACACACACACACACTATATATACTAAACTAAAAATACAATATGTTCAATTGTGGCTTCCAGATAAACACAAACTTTCCTATAATACATATTTCATATCACACAAAACCTTTAAATTTTTTAAAGTTTTAATCTGAAACATGGTATGTCTGGTCAATGGCACCAGTTAATTGAACCCTAGGTGTTAGTATCTGTAGTTGGATTTGGTCAAGGAGGATATTTACTGTTTTACAGATAGTTGTATCCTATAATGGCATGTGAATATGGGACTGCTATATGATTCAAACAGAATTAAGATACTTTCCAATACTAGTAACCCAATTATGTGATTGACCCACTACAAACAAATGTGAATCCTGAGAGTTCTGGAATGATCAGGGGAAAATCAATTTTTGTTTTGAATGTTCAAGACCTGTTGTAATGTGCTATGTCTTCATTTAAGTCCTTTATTGTGTATGGCAACCATGCACCATCATACTTCAATTTCAGTTTATTTTAGTTGCATTGCACTGTGTCAGTATATTTTAACTGTACCATCATACTTCAGTTTAAGTTAATTTTAGTTGCATTGGATTCTGTTTGTCAGTTATATTATAATCTCAAAAACACATGAGGCACTTATTTTGGTAGCTGAAATGGCATTCTGGCACTTTTTCAATAAATAAAAAATCTTTTTACAGCAAATTATGCTAAAATTTGACCAAACACATGAAAATGTATTAAAGAATATTTTTTGTCATGTTATTCTGGGATGTTGCATGTGCAAAAGCAAACTCATGCTGCCCAAGCATAAAAAAAGTAATCAAACATTTGTTGTTGTTTTTCTTTCAATTCATTGTTTGTATGCAACATTTTCCATATGTGATATTCAATTTACATTTACCTTTACACTCAGTAAACACCAGATGTGAAAGGAGCAAATAAATAAACAATTATATTCTTTTAAATGAATCAATATACACTGTTGGTCAAGCAACAAAATTATACATCCAAGCAAACTCCACATTATATAATTAATATGGTGTTTTGTTATGTGCATATTGTATCCTTTTTTTTTTATTCTACTAATAATGTGTATTTATGCTGAAAATCTAATTTAGCCAATTCTTTGTGATTTAATTTTAAGGAACATCTTCCAATCACCTACTTTCTTCTTATAAAATAGAGAGTACATTTATTGTATGTCTCCTTTAACTACATACATAATGTCATACTGTGGAATTTATTTGTAATTGATCTCCACTAAATAAGAAGACACGACTTGGAATTAATTTTTACTATATCACACTTTCAATAATATATATACATTTTTTTTCCCTACCTATAGCAGTTGTTATTGAAACGGTTGTAACTTGCCATAGTCAAAACTGCTCCCCATGAAGTACCAACTGAATAAAAAATCTGGGTAGCAGCATCAGCCCACACCTATTGTATATATATATTAAAACAATTAACAGTATGCAATATATTAATACATGAATATAACCACAAAAAATTAGTCTTATAATATTTAAGCAACAAGACAATACAAAAGTAGATATTAAAAGACATTCTACAGATTTAGCATCATTTGTTAAATATATAATGCAACGTAATATTTTGGGACAACATGGGACCTATTGGTCCATCTCGGCTGTTCCATCCTCAAAACTAAATTAAAATGATTAAAAAAATAAAATAAATGTAGTTTTCATGAAAGAATTTTTGGATTACATTGTCCTTACTGTAAACTTAATTACATTCAACAAAGAAACACATTACATTGTATGAACTCATTTAACAGATATGCTTACTGCAACTTTTATAGAAAAGTTTTAAAATTGTTTATTTAACCATATGTCCAGCATTTACAAAGTTTCTAAAATTAAAGTGATGTAAATGTATACAAATTCACTTTATAATCTTTGAGAAAATATTTTGAAACTATAAATGATTACACTTGCATTATTGAAATAAAATTACTCAAAAAATGACGTCACAAGTAAATAAGCAGCAGAACAAGGCAATATTAATAAAAACTATATGAATGTAAATTCACAACCTACAGACACCTTCAAATCTATTTTGTGGCTTGCTCATTTATAAATTTAAAGTAACTGGTGGTTTCAAGCTAACTTTAATCATGATAGATTTAATTTAAAATACTTGTTAGGACTCAATAACCAATACATCAAAGGATCTTGTACAACAACTAAATTCTTTTAAAGTATGGTTTACATAAGGATATCTTATTAAAGTGATTCTCTTCCCTGTATTAATTAAAACGTTGATATTAATAACTTGACAATATAAAAGACTGGAGTTTTTAATATCCCACCCATCCAGATATGCTTCATTACAGTAAGCCTAATTATAAAATGATCTACAAATCAAATACTATTTCAAATCAAAAATGATTTTTTTTTCACTGCATACAGGAACACCCTCAGATCAGTACAATAAATTGAAGCAAATGAACATGCATTCCCACTAAACTTAAAAATGTATTGAATGATCTACCCAATACAATGTTAAGGGTAGGAAACAACACATTTAACACATATGACAAATGTGTACAGTACAACTGAATGATTTATGTTCCCTCATCCTGAATACAGCTCCTCATCCACCAAAACCTCAAATTTCCAAATCTTTGTTTTACCTAAGTAACAATATTAAAATTGTTGTGACCATTATAAGCACTTTCATTATTTGTTTTATTAAAATCTCTCAATTGAATTTTTTATACAATAAAAAAATACTTAAACTACACAAACTGACCTCAAAAGATTTCAGAAGTTCCCAACGAGGAGTCAAGTAAAACATTATACCTTTGAAAGAACCTGGTAATGTTACGCCTCGAATAAAAAGGACAATCAAGATGATATAGGGAAAAGTTGCCGATATATAAACAACCTAAACATAAAACATGCACAAGTTAACATAAAATTCAAAGAAATGGTTAAGTACTAATATGTATATAAACCTTATTTCTTATATTATCAAATTCATTTACATTGTAAACATATTTATTTTTATAAGTTGATTCGGTGCACCCTTCATAATGTATTTTCTCATGATATACAGCCGTGTTAAAATGTTTGGCAAATAATTACCAGAATGTGAAAGAAGTTGTGAAAAAGAGTATGAATTTCATTTGTTGAGCATAAGTAGTAAATAACCCTCAGTTTTTGAAGTTAGTTCAATAGAACATTTACAAATATCAGTCTTTACAGAATTCTAACAATAAATAAATATAAAAGCCCATATTTTTTTAAATATTTTCATTGAATTATCATTTGGATTAGCAAAGGCTCCAAGAATTATGCCAAGTTTTTGTTGGTCTATTATATTTAGTTATTAGTATTTCAAATTGATTTAATGTTTCTATTATATTATATAAACACACACACATATAATAAATCATTAAATACTTATACACATGGCAAAATGTAAAATCTGTTTTTCATCCACAAACTTCAGTAATATTTAATAAAAGTACAATTTAAATACTTTCAGCCATAAGAGGTTTTAGAAATGAAATAGATAACACATTTGCAATAAAACATAAAACCAATACTAAATAAGATGACAAACTGAGAGTTTAAAATTTTTAAATATTTTAGTAAAACTTTTTCAATTTCATATTACTTCTACAGCAAGTTACAAGTTGTTTTTTTGCAAACTTCCCAATTTAACCTCTCAAGCTAAACAAACTAAATCCTTCATAGTTCAAACTATGAAATTTTATGTTAATGGCTCTGGATCTTGTAATAATTATTTCAATCAGTGTTTGTTATGCACATGTCTTAATGAGAATTTGTTTTGTCCATGTTTAGGCATAAATGTTTGAAATAAGAGTTATTACACTGAGAACCACTCTCTGTGAGCACCATCAAACTAAATTAAAAAAAAACAGTTTAACTTGTGATAATATTTGGTGCACAAAGCTACTTGAAGGTGTTCCAGAGCTTGTTGATAACTTTTCAAATTATTACACAACCTGTGTAATGTGCCTAGTTCCAGGAGGAGGTTAAGCTACTCTAGATCAAGACTGAAGAGCTCAACCACAGAATGAATGTTATTGAATATTGTAGGGTTATTGACATGATATCACTATGCTAGTTAATAAGCCAATTTCTACTCTTTCCTGAACTGGCCTGGCATAATCTGGTGGTTAGGGAAATCAACTCGCAATATGCAAATCTCAAATTTGAGTCCTGTCACCTAACATGCTCACTCTTTCAGCCATGGGAGACATTATAATACGACTGTCAATACCATTTTTTAAAGGTAAAAAAGTAGCCCAAAAGTTAGCAGCGGGTGTTGTTGACTAGTTCTCTTCCCTCTAATCTATAACTTCTAAATTAGGAATGGCTAACACACAACCCTCACATAGCTTTGCTCATAACTCAAAAGACAAACTTTATTGAATCAGCTAATTACAGCAACTTCATTATCAGTGTAGATCTACAAACAACAAAAGTTCTAGATACAGTTTCTATGAAGTTCATTCTTACTTCACTTGATCACTGAGTATGTAGTCATAAAATGTTGCTTTCCTGAGTGGGATCAAGCAGACAATTGCCAGGAATCCCAAAGTAATTTGTACAAAACATTTGTCTGGTAGATACATAACAAAGACTAACAATGGACTTTAGTAAAATTGAATAATTTAACAGTACTAAGCATGATTATGAACCATATTCTGAAAGACTAGTGCACTTCTTTCTAGCAAGTGATGTAACTAAAAGAGGGGAAAAATTGTTTTTTTAGTGTTCCAAGAGCAAAATGGCTATGAACAGTTGAAATCGCTAATAGTACCCATCAAAACAAGTGCCTCCAGTTGTGATGAGTTGAAAACAAGTCTTACAGGGATATTATAAACCCAAGCCTTTACCAATTCACAAACATTTTATATTCTGTAAGAAAACTCAAAAACCTGATGAATCTATTTCTGAATACTGTACAGCAATCAATCATCTGAAAAGCACATATAAATTTGGAAGTTTTCTAAATGAAGCTTTGAAGACAAATGTATATGTGCCCTTAAGAATGTTGCTACAATACTGCTACAAGTAGAAAACTTAACATTTAAGAGAACAATAAAAATTATGGATGCTATAGAAGTAGCAGAGAAATGTTGAAGAATTGCAATGTGGCCCACTACAAAGGGGAAGTAAGAAAGTTGCATTTCTGAACAAAAAGGTTGGTGATGGTACATCAAGTACACATGAAACTAAGAAAGCTTATCATTGTGGAAAAAAAATCACATTAATAATGTATGAACGTACAAATTCAATAACTCTCATAAAATAAGACATTTGTAGCAATGAGTATATCAAAAAGTAAAAAGTCTTCAGAACAGCTGAAGTCAAACAAGATTGAAACTGAAAAATCTGTCATTACTGTGTTCCAGAGAATGAGTTAAGGTAGTAACAGCACACAAGTTGAGGTTGACATTAATGGTGTTCCAATCAAAGTCAATTCAGGTTCCATGGGAACCATAATTTCAAACACACTACAGGTAGAAGTTAAGTTGACCCTAAAAAGGAGTCATGATATTCTAAAATATTTAAGCAACATCATTCCTATAAAAGGAGAGAACTGTCTTCACATACTGCTTTTGTATACATGTGTTATACCTTAAAAGAAACTTGATTGTCCTCCATCCATAACTTGTTTTCCTGTTATAGGACTATGATCAGACAGATTAAGAAGTTCCATGAACATAAGATGTAACTTGATGCACTGAATATCATGATTTGCCATGTATAGTAATATAATATCTACTAGAAAGTTCAAGAGTGTTATCAACAGCCAGTTACATTGCTAGTGCTATCTCGGTTGCAGATTTAGAAGAGAGATTCTTCTCCAGTAATAATTTGTATAGCTTCATTACATAAGCCACAAATAAGGTGGTTATGAAGTGTCTTGTAGAAAACCTCCATACTCAATTGGTAGTATCTTCATGACAGCTACATGATGTGATAAGCTCAGTCATTCTGCAACTTAAAACTCTCTTCAATGACCAAAGATTTTGCCTTATAATGCCATGCAGATAAGGCATCTATCAAACTTTGATAAGATGTTGACTGAGCAACAAGTGCGATAAGATTCTTTAAGACTAAGTAAGATTTAAAATCTATCTAAAAAGCTACTAACAAACTAACTTTTTTTCATCTGGAATATCAATTATCTGTTGTTCTAAATGTTCTTTCCATGACAAGAAATCTTCTTTGATATTATTTCACCATACAACCAATAAATTCTGCTGCCATCTTAGGTTAGGCCTACTTTGATTGCATTTACTAATCATAACAAATAAACAAAACAAAAACTAAGCCTGAACCTCGTCGCCAAATTGTAATGTCTTGGATTAAATTAAATATAAACCAACTTATTTTGCAGAACAATAATAGAAAAGAATGAGATAACATAACTTCATATGCACATTCTTTTATTCCATGCATCAACACTACAGTAAAACTGTGTTTACAAATAACAGAGGATAGCAATTACCAGTACTTGTTTAAATACAAATAATACACTAAAGTCAACACATACAACTATGGCAGAGTTCACATCAATTGTGGAGTGTAATATACAATTGAGTTTCTTGAAGATGGCCCAAAATAGTCAATGTCAACAACTACAACAGTGAAGCAAATAAACATTATGAAGGAAATTTTTTTTTCTCATGAAATTCCTGAAAAAATTATTTTGGATAATGGGTCTCAATTCATAAGAGTTAAATTGAATATTTCAAGAGAATCAATGATATATGACATATCACAAGTTCTCCATAACATCCAAGTTAAAAAAAGGCTGCACAAAGACTTTTACAGACTATGAAGAAAAAATTTAGGACATTAAAAAAGGGGGTTATCACCAAGACAAAGATTAGCACATTTGCTTCTCAACATAACAACATTGCACTCGTTCACAAGGAAAACTCAACCCGAGATGTTCCTAAAATGCCATTTCAGAATGTGCCCGACTTTTGTTTAGCCTGACTTGGTTACAGCAATCAGCAACAAGCTAAGATATACTGATTCTCTATCCCATTGCAACTTCTTTGGAAGACCAAAATGGGTGTTTGGTGAGGTTATTCAACAGATATCAGCTAAAGGGATACTTTGCTCGTGTAAGAGGTTGAACACATCCACGTCAATCACATACTGTCAGCACCACCATCTGAAACTGCTGACAGCCCATCTACAATGGCTTTGAAAGAGTTGTCTATGCCACACACACTACTTATGATGTACTGTCAATGTCATTTCCTGAAATTGCACTTCAAGGGACTCATCTCAACAACTGTTACATGTAGACAGGTGATAAAAATATGCAAACACAACAGTTACAAATGATGGATACAAGAGCAGACTTCTGCATGGTTGCACCACTGAAGTTTAAAGCTGTTTTAGCTTTAGCTGACAAAATCACATTAAAGTGAGATTCATTGGGGCAGTGTAGCATTTTTAAGAGAGCTTGAATAACAACCTTTTATCCTAAAAATGCAAATGAAGCATTTAAAAACATCACTGTTTTTTTTTTAATTTTGGCAAGTATCCTAATCACCCATCATACTGTATATTTAAATCTCAGTTTTATTATAATAAATGTTCAAGAATGTTTTAATTGATCGAGAAATCTAGGTTGCAGACAATAGTCAAAATTCATTATATGGCAGAAAAGCTTTTATCTTACCTTACCAGAAGACTGAACACCTTTCATTAAGCATAAAAATACAATCATCCAGGCAACAAATAATGATAAAACAAGTGGCCATCTTGGTTCTCCAGGTTCTTCAATTCCATCACTGAGACGTAGTACATAAAACCTGCCAAAAATGAAAAAATAATATTAATTTTAAGACAATTAAAAAAAAACGTTAGTTGAGGTCAATAATCTATTTATTTTAAAGACCTCTAAAACCTGAATTCCACTTGACTTATTATATGATCCTTAAGCAGTGTAAGAAAAATCAACAAATAGTGATTCACCATAGCAAAATATTTCTTGATGTAGACATATCCCCAATACTGATTTGTTCTTAAAACAATAGCATTTATATTTTAATTTTTCCTCTTATTACTTGATCGCCTATACTTGCAATGGACAAATACAACATCTCTACAATATGTCAACTGTAAATCAATCATGAATTAAAATGAATGAGAAAAAAAGTTTGAAATTGAAATTACAAAACACCTCTATGCATTTGAACAATTATTTAAACTACAGATGTAGTGAGGGTATTTATCAAAGGTATTTATTCATATTCTTCTTGTCTCTTACATTTATAAACTGCAATCTCTCCAGAATTTTACAGATTATTAAACAAAGGTACTAGCCATACTTTAGGAAGGAGATTAATATGGTCCCACTTTCATTATGGTTTCGAACAGACTACTTTTCATTAAATGTATAACAATGCAAAAAGTACAAATCAAATGTAAATAAAGTTGTTTTTTTTAGTAACATATTGACTGACATTGTTCTTTTCTATTTCTGTACTAAATATATGTCAGTACTTATTTTAATAAAGAAACACTGACCTATCCATACAGGTAATATAAATATAATTACTTAGATTTCACACAAAATATGCTTACAGCCAGTATTCTTCACTAGATGTCATTCTATTAGACAAATCTATTGTAGTTATATTTTGATTAACAGTGTCATTGAGTCCCAATGATATGTTCCCACTCTGCTCATGGTGATCCACACAACGAATAGTGTTCCACCAATTACCACACGTTGCCCATGGTACTACTGCACCCACAGACTTGTACAGGTAATACAGAGTCCACGCAATGATTACATTGTAGTAGGTGCAGACTATGCCAGAAACCAACACCATTGCATATCCCACACCTATACAAAAAGATAAAGACACATACAAAGATAAATAATAATACTGAAATAAATACCTAAAATTACCATTAAATACCCGAATGTATAAACCAGATATCACAAGATAAATACTGTAGAAACTATTCATATTAAACTCCAAAGACACCATATTAACATCTCATAAAAATGGTAGATGTGACATCTTGCTAGTTTCAAATGACTATCTTCTTTCATACTACATTGTATTAGAGGGTATAAAAATTCTAAGTTGACATTTAGTTTTTCTCCACATTCAAAGCTAGATTGTTGTAAAGTTATGGTATAATATTTAATATTTTCTGAATAAACGTTTAATTCATTGTATTAAAATTAAATGTTATGTTAAAATTTATACCAGTGTAATGCACAAAGAATAATTTATAATACACTGATGTTTGGGTTTATACATCCTCACTTTTGTGACACTAGACAAGTGTTTCTCAACCCTTTTTTGCTCATGGTTCCCTTTTGAATTTCATTTATCTCTGTGGCCCCACCCTTCGTAGATGCTGTTTAATTAGGAAAAACGTTTCTTTATTTC